ATCGCCACATAGGGTGTTATAAATTTTCTGAGATAAGGGAGGGAAAACAATTTTTTTTATATAATAATAATAATAATAATATTATTATTATAAGATAAGGGAGGGAAAACAATTTTTTTTATTTTTTTATATTATAATAATAATAATATTATTATTATATTATTATTATCCTCCGTGCATTTTTCGCTTGAACATGTATTCGCAGCAAAATGAGCCTCCCGTAAATAAAGTCCACATTCCGGATGCGACCGTGCAGTCTGTTTTGTCATTCGGGATTGTCTCAGACCACTTTCTTTAGCAATCGGGAAGAAAATAATAATTCACACATTTTTAGCCGGCACACGAAACCATGGTGCAATGAGCGTCTTCCCTTAGTGGAATCGAAGTTTCAGACTCACTCGCGTGGTCTGTTTCATCCCGGGCTCAGTTGGACAATTTTGCTAACAATCAGACTAACTCGAGCCAATTTCGCGCACGACACAACATATAAAATTTGTCAACCCAATCGAAGTCGTCTGATGTGCCAAATGCTGACCGGTCTTCGCCTAAGCGAAAGCCAAAGCCTAGCAAAATGACCTCGGTTACGTGCCCCTCAACATGTGTCAGTGATTCAAAATGGATGTTTCACCCTACGGGAGTCAACACGTGCATCAAACAACGTTATTTAGCGCTCGAACGAAGATCCTATGCATGCGACTCCAAAAAAAAATTAAGGCCAACATATATATAGTATAAAAAATAAACTTATGAGAAAAAAATATAAAATCAATAAATAGTTATATTCAGTCCAAATCATGATCCCTAAAAAAAGAAAATGGACCCCAATCATCAATTCAAATCTTTTAGGAATGAGCGGACAGTGACAGAAGCGCCATACCCTCCAGCTAAGATTTCAGCTCAAACGTCACCGCTCCCCGCCACGTGTCTCCAGAGCCGAAAACCAATGACATCTTAAGGCCATTTCCGTCATTCTAAACAAAATAAACGACGAATTTGACGCGGGGTGAAATCGTGGGTGCAAAAGCAAGTGTAAAAAACAGGACCGAACTCCATTCCCTAACGGACGTGAAATCGGGCTGATTCCGTAAATAAGTAGAAGCTGGGATACCCTTTTGACAATTTCTGAGGAAAAGAAACAAAAATTTTACTGCAAAAAGTTATAATTTTAAATTAGCTATTGATAATAAATAAATAATATATATACTTATAAATTCATAAATATGTTCTCTGAGAGTTTTATTGATCAGAAGTAGGGCCGTCAACATGACTCATTATTCGCGAATAGCTAGTGTTAGTGTTATGCTCGTTAAGAAGCTCTTGTTCGACTCATTCGCTAAGTTAAAGAGTCGAACACAAACAACACAAACTAATATTTGTTCATTTATGTTGGCTCATTTTAGTGCGAAATACTATCAATTAATTATATATATATATATATATTTTGACTACAAGACTACAAAGATTTATAATCAATTAACAATATTAACTAAGAAAATAAAATGAAAATTATTAATTTAAATTCAAATGATGTTTTAAATCTTGTCATAATCTTTAATATTTTATGACTACATGATTAGGATTGTAAAAAAGTCTCTTTATTCGTAAATGACTCGTGTTCGGCTCTCTAAGCAAATGAGACGAACTTTTTGAGCTAAAAAAATTACCATTCTGCCCCCTGAATTTCACATATTTTGACCTCTTTGAGCGAGATTAAAATGCCATTTTTGAATGTTTTACCCATCTCTATCACGAGTCTCCATCTAGGAAAACCCTTCGGCGTCGGGAACACTTGTTGAAGATGAGCTACTCGAGACGATTCGATCTCTTCGAGTCCTTCAGCCGCGGAACAAAGCCATCTTTCCTCTTCCCCTCTCCGCCGGAGATGGTGGAAGTGGAGCTTGATGAGCAGATAGACTTTGCTCTCGATGTTCTGAGCCCGGGCCTCTGCTCTAGATCAAGCTTTTTCGACATATCGCCCGCCCATTCATGCTACTTTGACTCCTGGTTATCGGATCTGGCCTTGGTCTCGTTCCAGCCCTTTGTCAGCGCTGTCCGACGTGCGGAGACTGAGATCCAGCTGCAGAGTTTGAGTAATCGTATTGCCGCGCTTGAGGCAGGGTTCGATCGTGCGATTGGTTCGAAGACGGAGCCCAGGGACCGTAAGTTTAAGTGGACGGCGGAGATCAAGGGTCGGAAGGGTGAGGAGTCGGATCGGAAGTATAAGTTAGTGGCGGAGGCGAAGGCTGGCGGGGAGAGGAGTGTGAAGTGGACCACGGATGTGAAGGGTAAGGGTAGCTACACGCTCGAGGCGGCAACAGCGGGGGATCGAAGAAAGGAAAGGAGAAGGATAAGAAGGGGGAGAAGAAGAAGAAGGGGACGGAGTCGTCTGCAAGGCTGGTAGAAATCGAGGAGGAGAAGAACCCTGGTGGGATCGTTATCAGGAAGGTTTGTGATTTCGGATGCTTTGCTAGAGGTTTAAACTTTCCCATTTGATCAGTGTGAACGATGGGATTTTGTTCATCTGGAATTTTCTAGATGGATGGATGCCTTAAAAGTTGGTTTGTTTTGGTTCGCATAATAAATGTGGCTTAATTTTTGATTTGATTTATTTATTTATTTTTTGTTAACAATTTGTCTTGGTGAAGAATATTTTTTGGCAGCTTTTTCTGCCTTTTTTGGTCTCATTGAGAAAGTTGACATAAAATATTAATGAAAGATTTAAGCTCGTACCATTTAGTTCTTCTCTTTGCATATCTAACACATAAACTTTAATTTTGTACATATATGCCTCTTTATCCGTACATGAGAAGATGTGTTTCTCTTTTAAAAAGTTGAGGTTTTGAAAAGTAGGTAGTGATATTTTTTTTATCCCAATTTTAAATAAATAATATAAAAATATTTAAATCATAAAATTTTAAATGGTGAAATTAATGGTCATATTTATAATTAATTTAACATTAAACAAAAAAAATGTAAAAAAAAACTGTTTTTTTTTGTACATAATAAGATCTAAATGGGTATAAAAGATCATTGTTTGTGTAGATAGTTTATAATTAAAGTTGCGGTCTGAATATATGCATTTGTTAGAAATCAATATTTTTTTTTTAGTATCCGCCAAAACTAACTCAAGCACCAAATGAATTATCCAATGGATTCTTTTTAAGAATAGGTGAATGCAAGGCATGATGAACTACTAGTAAGATTGCACTAAAATACAATGATAATAAACAAAGGTAGAGGATGCGATTTAAATTTTGTGGAAGGTTATTACGGAGGAAATTCATTGAGATTACATATCATTTAGTAGAACTTCACAAATTTGATTAAGTTTCTACAAGCTTATATATAATTTATTTCAATTAGGAAATTATAATAGTATGTAGTTTGTAGTGAGTTAAAAGGATGTTTGATGATCAATTCTTTAGGCAACGATATGCGGAGTTGATAAATGTGTGCTAAATGATCAGATTTGGCTTTGCATTCAAGACACATGTATGCTTGAACATCGAATTCAGCAGCTTTGGGTGCTGCTGATCAATTGAAACTTGAAAGCAAGTGGAGTGGCACCTAGTAGAGCTGGAGTTGAGATGGGTTAGTGCAATATAAGTGTACAATGGATAAAAGTTGATCCAATCGAGCTTGGGTTTAAAGAGAGTTATTGCTAGGGGAAGTCAGAAAGATGAGTGTATATTAGTCTGATTATTACTAGAGCTACATAGAATTGCGGGTTAACATGTTTATGCTTGTTGTTTTGATTGACCAGGATGATGAGAACAAGGATTATGCTATTTTCCTTTTTCTGTTGAGAAGGAGGATTGACCCATTATTTTCGTATTTCAGTTGAATTACTTCAGTGATCGGTTTTAAGCCCATATCTTTTTTGCGTTAGTTATGGATGCCATTACTGGACATTTGTAGGAGGATGTGCCTTAGTGTATGCTTTTCGCTGATGATATTCTTCTTGTGGATAAGACCAGAGAAAGAGCTTAGGATAAACTTGAATTATGGAGGTCTAACATTGGAGACTAAAGACCTTTGTTTGAGTAGAACTAAAGCCGGATACATTTTTAGTAGGAGTAGCTCTAGTGTCACAGTTGTAATTATGAGTGATCAAATCATTAAGGGTGTGAACGCTTTATGTATCTCGGGTCTATTGTTCAAAGTGATGGTGATATAGATTGGAATGTTATTAGTAGAATTCAAGTTGGTTGGTTGAAGTGGAGGAATGCATCGGGCTTATTGTGTGATAGAAAAGTACTGCTTAGACTGAAAGGGATATTTTATAAGATGGTGGTGAGACCTGCAATGCTTTATGATGCAAAATGTTGGCCTTTAGAAGAGAAGCATAACAGAGTCAAGTGTTGCAGAGATGAGAATGCTTAGGTGGATAAGTGGCTTGACACTTAGAGACAAAATACGAGATGAATATATCCGTGATAGAGTTGGTGTAGCTCCAGTGGCGAATAAAATTAGAGAGAGTTGTCATAGATGGTTTGGTCGCATTAAACGTCGACCATCTGATGATCCGGTTAGGAGAGTAGATGTTTTAGATTTGTCCTATGTTAAGAAAGACAGAGGTAGACCAAGAAAGGCTTGCGCATATTGTATAAAAAATGATCTTAATTTATTAGAATTAAATGAAAATATGTCACTCAATAAGATGTAATGAAGAAAAGGATTTATGTAGCCGACGCCACTTAGTGGGATAAAGGTTTGTTGTTGTTACTGTAGACTAAATGTAGATTTGTGGCTTTATGTAATATATATTAAAGACCCTGATTATTCCTCTAGACCTTTATTACCCTAGGGCTCGGCTCTAGGGGAGAGAGTATCGTTATTTATCATAATTGGTGATATGAAACTTACATTTATTTAGGTGCAATAATATCTAATGCTATATTTTCATGCCGGTGATGAAATAGTCTCTTTTAGCTTACAATGAGCAAGTTAGAGGAGTTATGCAGCACTGTGCAACGAATCTCATTGTGGCCCTGAATATGAAGAATAGGTTAGGGATGGCAGTTGTACTGTCATTAACTCTTCACATTTTACCCTAAGATCTTATCTTACACTTTTAATGTCAATGTGCTATCTATTGCAATCTTCAAGACGTCATAGCTCTTTAGTTTATTATCACTCACGTGAATTATCGATGGTTATAGATTTTGATATGGATTTTATGAAGTCTTACTTAATAGTGCGTAGTCTCAATGTTTACTAATCTCAAATCGTAAGAAAATCACCTCCTGTGCATTTGTTTGTCATCATTGCTTATACAGGCTATCTCATTAATAATTCATCTTAATTTTGCCCCACATTGGTTTAAAATAACAACTAATTTGAATGGTTAATTCACTTAAGTTACAAGTTAGCTCTATTGGATAGTTTAGATGGCAGAAAAAAAATTGAGATTTTAGCTATTATATATCTTCATAGTTTAGCTTTATTATCATTATATATTCATGTACTAGTCTGTTGTGCCTACTTATGTCTTATTTTTTAAAAATTTACATCTTTTGTTAAAACTTCTATGTTTTATAATTTTTTTCCTTGCCTTTCTTTTATTATTAACATGAGTTTGTGTAGTTTTTTATAGTCACTAACATCAAAACTTTGGATTTTTTTCATCACCTGTCCAAAATATATCCTTTTTAGGTCCGCAGTAAATGGTGTTATAACTCAGATGTTGGCTTCGGCATTCGATGACTGCGTATGCTTAATTTGATTTTATGTATTTGTTGTGTTACGTCAAAAAAAATTAAATGGAACAAAGTTCACTTTGCCAATTTAGTTATTGAAAATTATCATCTTTTTTATTATATAATTAGAGAATGAAAAAATGTTAAATGATAGTAGCATACAACATTATATAACTTGAAGTACGAATACACAATATGAATTAGACGATCACAATGTACATGTTATCTTCAACATCTCTTTTGCCATGCATTAAGTTCTTTTATTATTTATGATTATGTAATATTTTATGATGTTATAGTTGGAGGTTGTACTTTCATCAACTCTCCGTACTGTCACACTAAGAACTCATCTTGTCCTTTTAGTCTCTACTCACTCTCTATTACAATCTTTAAGTCGTCATAATTCTCTAGTTTCTTATTGCATGTGAATTATATGTGCTAATTGATTTTGATATGAATTGTGTGAGCCCTTACTCAATAGTGTGTAGTCTCAATGAATCACTTGTTTACTAATCTCAAATCGCAAGAAAATCACCTCCCATGCAGTTATTTGTTTTCGTTGCTTCTATGTGCGAACTCATTGATATTTCATCTTACTTTTGCACCCACATTTGCTTAAAAAAACGTCTAACTTCATTGGTTTATTCATACGAATTTTGAGTTATTTTTATTGGATACTTTATATTAGAATTTTAAGATTTTAGCTGTTATATATCTTCATAGTTTAGTTTTACTTCTCATTATCTATTCATGTACCAATCTGTTGTGCTTATTTTATGGTTATTATTTTTTAAAAATTCACATCATCTTTTAATGCCTTAATGTTTTTTAATTTTTTGCCTGCTCGTTTTTTTTTCTAGTAACATGAGTTTGTGTAGCTCTTTTATAGTCATTAACATTAGGACTTGGGCTTTCTATAATCACCTGTCTAAGAAAAAAAAACATTTTCTTGCAGTCCCACTAAAATGGTTGCTGATGTCACGATTTTTTAAAACAACAACCTTGAGGGGTTAGATATACCTTCACTAACATTCTTATTTCCTTGGTTTATCCTCAATATGGCACGCAATTTTTTACAAATTTAACCATGAAATAAATCAAAATATTTATTGATCAAATCTTTGGATGCTCTACTCGAAAGCTTTTTATTTGTCTAAATTGGACAACAAGTCTTGAGTTGAGTTGGATTTGTGAGAAATAAAGTGGCGAGTTTGGGTAATAGCTCCAGATTGTTAACCCATAGTAGGCATGTCACATAATTTTATGAGTTGAGAGATAGAATGCTGAATTTACTTAAATAACGGTTGAGTTGGAAAAAAAATGTAAGCTGATTTTTTCAATGAAAATAAAACCGATGAGAAGGACAAAGTACATGAGTTGGTTTACTTGTTTAGAACTTTCTTCTATAAGATTAAAAGAAGTTTGTTAAGAAATTTCAAATCCTTTAGCACTTTAAATGATCATTCACCAATCATTTATTTAGTCAGCACCGTGACAAAATATCATCAATATGTGGTTGAATTCACAATGTTACAGAGAATACATTCAAAAGCTAATTAACAAATAAAGGGACTTCATTGAAGAAAAGGTCAACAGGTTGATGGGTTGTTCAAATGTTGTTAACAAGTTTGTATCGTTATGATGTGTGAATTAGCCATTATAAAATAAACATTAGACTCATATGTGATTTTGAGACAACTCATTGATGTGAATTAAAAAAAAAAAACATTGCATGCCATTTCTCCA